TCACTTAAACGATATCATTTTAGAGGAAAAATCAAGTAAAAACGAGAAATCTTAAAAACTGCTTAATGAATATGATTTCTTTTATTTCTTTGCCGACTACATTTTATTTGTTTTTGCCGACTACATTTGCAGGGAGTCCAAGGCACATGTATGAATACTCACAGGATGCAATGACATATGTTCGCGCATATGGGCTCCCAGATTTATTTATTACATTTACATGCAATTCTGCTTGGGTTGAAATTAAAGAGCTTTTGTTACCAGGACAATCATCATCGGATCGTCATGATATTACAGCACGTGTGTTCAAACAAAAATTAAAATATTTACTTGATTTCATTGTGAAGCGTCATGTTTTTAGAGAGACACGGTGTTTGATGTACTCTATTGAATGGCAAAAAAGAGGACTGCAACGGGCACACATTTTGATTTGCCTTATTGAAAAAATCCCACCACGCCAAACTCACCAGATATCAGCAGAAATTCCTGATGTCGCCATAGATCCAGTCTTATTTCAGATTATTGTTCAAAATATGTTTCATGGTCCGTGTGCATCACCATACATGTCTGTTTGAAAATGCACTAACGATATCTTAGAGCAGGGATGGCGAACCAATGGCACGCGTGTCACTTATGACACGCGATACAATATTTTGGGCACGCCACTCATCATAAACTTTACTATGTAGCATATTAACAATTAAATTAAAATTCAAAAAAAAAATATTGACAAAAAAATTAACAGTTAATGCCACAAAAAAAAACAATTAATAACCATAAAAAACAAGCTAACAATAAATAACTAGCAAAAANTTAACAGTCCTGCTTAAACTAACGTTTTACAACCTAATATAAGTTATTTGTCATCTTATTTGCAACAACAGAAGTCACACTGATGTTACTTTAAGTTGAATTATGCATATAACTGAGGCATTGCAAAATGTTTTTTTTTATCTTCCATAGTATATAAAGAGTTTTGAGTTGATGGTATTCAGTATTATTACTTTCCCAATTATCACGAAGTCAAAATTATTTGATGGCACGTCTATGACCACATTAAACAATTTTTTAGAAAAAGTGGCACATTGGTGCGAAAAGGTTCGCCACCCCTGTCCTAGAGAATTAACTGCTGAGACTATCACTGGTTTTTTCACCATTAAATAAAATTTGCATTTCAAATCATAGTCGCAAATCTCATTTACTCACTTAAATACAAAATTAAAATTCAAACTGAAAGCGTTACAAAGCAAGCAGGGAACAGCTAGTTATAAATAATTATTTAAAGCTACTTTTGACGTAGAATAATCTTTGGGTAAATGAATTTTATAACTGTATATAAAATGTTTCGATGTGCAAGAATCATCTTTATTCCTCCTTTACAATTGTTTTGTGTTGTAGACTAATAACTTCTACTTGTTTATGTAAAGCACAAAGAGCTTAGATTAGCGTTTTCAATTACAAACAAACTATAGGTATTTTTTCTAATTAATAATTCAATACAATTAAGCTATATAGACTTTTTCCTCCGCAGATTTAGGTGTAAAATCAAGAAAATCATTCGATTTCTCTTGTTGTGGGTGACTGGCAGCATATTTAACGAGGCAACCCAGCGCAGTTTGGTTTTCCTTTTTGGGATTTTGTAAGCACTTCACCAGCATTGTTTGCACACCAGCTCCAACCTTGTCTGCATTGTTTCTCAGCATAATCTCATTTACGTGTACTACATCTCGGCATGAATGCAGTTTTAACACCTGAAATTTTTAAGTACTCACTTAAAGAATATTGCTACTTACTGAGCAATTTTCTCGATCTTTCTTTGTACTGTATTATTACTCAGTGAAATTTTTTTTAATAATGTTTAAAAGCTGGCTTGTGCAACATAGTGCGTACTACCTCAATTACAGATGGTAAAATAAGTTCTTCATCAACAATGTGCGGTTTTTCAGACTTTGCAATCAATAAAGAAATGCTATGAGAAGTGCACAGTTCATCGTCATCTCGTTTAGATGTTGCCCCTATGAGCTGTTGCAGGGATGGTGTTTTCAAATCTTTTTCTTTGACTTTGTGTTTGTTTTGTGAAAAAACGTTAAATTCTTATATTTTTTGTCGCTCTGGATTTTATTAAATGTCTCTTAAGCTTAGAAGGTTTATTGAATCATTTGACGTATTTTTATTACGAAGTAGACACATAGGTCAAGTACTATTTCCTGTTAAAGAAATAAAGAGATATTCAATACTTCGTCTTACTTATTCTGTTAAGAAGGACGAAAAAGAATATGAAAATTTGTATATTAAATATTTTACTTGTAGCAAACCACTGTTAATAATTAGTAACTTTTTCAATGGAATGCTGTAGTAAAGCCATCTTAAATTAATTATTTGACGAGAAGGATAAAATTTCATGTAATTTTTGAATAAAGTATAACTTTTTTAATTAACTTCTTGCAAAAAAACATCTGTATTTAAAAAAAATTGCAATCTCTTCCAAAGATTTTAATTAAAAAAAAGTAATTCCTTAATTTACGTTAAGGGAATAATTTACGTTGATTGCTATTGAAAAACGTGATATATAGTTTTTTCAAACGAGATCCATTTCATTCAAATATACTTACGCAACAAAAGTATTCTATCTGCGCATCAATACAAAAAATGTAACTAAACCAAAACTTCCAATTAACAATGCATAACTTTTTTTTGTCTAAGACTGACGAAATTTGCTTACATACTTCGCATCAGCATAACATTGAACTAAATTGTTGATTAGATGTCCGACATTTTTATAGTTTATGTTTATATTGTAGACAAGTTAGTGCATGTTTTCGCTTTTCAACTTAAAGCAATTCTAATAGGGTAAATACACCGAAGATTTATTACTATTATTAGTGAATATAACCTTTTCTCTCGTTTTCTTGATGGCACAGGAAAACTACTCAATAATTACCAAGGGGTAAGTAACAAAAATATATTTAAATCTTTAACATGATAAATACGGTACAGTGGTAGACTTTTCTACCACTACATTACAATGCAGATGCTCTTGCTTTTTACAAAATCTTAGTTTGCAGTTACGGTTACAATCTAATGATAAACTCCGCCATCTATCGGTGGTTCAATAACATGTATTTTCTACAAACTCCCCACCATGGACGGGGATGTCCATAATATCTAGTAAGATTAAAGGAAAAATGACAAATAGAAAAAAAAACATTAAAGTTCAACATGAATCAAATTTTTAAGCATTATTTAAAATTTCAAAAGGATATAACAGTTGAACGGGACGTCTGATCCGACTTCCATTAGTCCTTACGAGACAGCTCCGGACTTTGCCATCCCGTCCAGGGTAGACTTCTTCGATTACTCCAAGGCTCCAAAGTAATTTATTCTTTTGGGCTCCTTCGATCAAGACAACGTCCTGGACTTGAAGGTTCCGTTGATTTTCTGAAGTTGTCAACCGATGCGCAGTTTTTAAGAGAAGAACATACTGTTCTTTCCATTTGGTCCAAAAATTTTGTAAAAGTCTCATCTGGAACAGTTTCCTTTTGATTAAGGAAGAACGATTTGAGTGTTCAAAAAGAGTTCCGGTGTAATATAACGGAAGCTCGATTTTCTTCTGAGGCAATAAAAAATGAGCAGGAGTCAAAGGTTCGGGTTCATTTAAGTCAGAATAAACGAAGCTTAAAGGGCGTTGGTTTAACACTGATTCTATATCTGTTAAGATTGTTGTTCATTCCTCAAAAGTAAGAAGAGATTTAGATAGGGTCTTGCGTAAGCATTCCTTCACCGATTTCACTAATCTCTCATAGAAATCTCCCCACCATGCAGCTCGTTCCATGATAAATTTCCACCTGATCCTTTTATTTGCTATAAAATTTTGAGTCTTTGGATCTTGAATCAAGTTAAAAGTGAGTCGAAGTTCTTTATTTGCGCTTTTAAAGGTTTTTGCATTATCGCTATATATGGTTTGGAAAATTCCTCGTCTGGAAATAAACCTACACAAGGCTAATATAAACTTTTCTGTACTTAGATTTGAAACTAATTCGAAGTGTAACGCTCTTGTTACTGCGCAAGTAAACAAACATATATAGGCTTTTTCAGGAGTATTCGATGCTTTAGCATATATCGGACCTGCAAAGTCCACCCCGCAAACTGAGAATGGTGGAGATTCTGAAACTCGATCTTTAGGTAGGGGACTGGTTATTTGTTTAGCAGGTAGAGCTGAATATTTGCGACACATTATGCAATTCTTTATTATTTTCTTTATAAGCTGCCGACCTCTAGCGATCCAAAACCAATTTCTAATTTTAGAAAGGGTGGCAGAAACACCACCATGAAATATTCCTTCGTGTTCATTTCTAATCAACAGTTCCGTAAATTTACATTTATTAGGAAGTAAGATAGGGTGTTTTTGTTCTAGATCAAATTCCGAATTTTCCAATCTGCCTCCTATTCTTAAAACCTTTTTATCATCCAAAAAGGGGGCAAAACTTCTAATGGAAGAATTCTTGTCAATTTCTTTTCCACTTTCTAAGGCCAATATTTCTGAATGATACGCTTTTCTTTGCTCAAATTTGACCCAAAACTCTTCTGCTTCTTCAATTTCTGATGATGTGAGTAGTCCCTTAGTGATAGATTGTTTTCTTATCTTTGAAATAAAACGTCTAATCCATGCTGTTATCCTCAAAAATTTTAAAAGGCAATTATAATTCTCCGGATTAATTCTTAGATCATTGGAAGATGTACTAAAGCAGAAACTTGGAATTTCCTCTTTCTTCTTTCTGAATTCCAGATTTTCTTCCTGGGGTGTTTCAAAAGTCTGAGGCCAACTGTCAACACGTTTTTTGAAGAAAGGGGGTCCTTTCCACCAAAGAATGTTGTTTATCAATTCGGATGCTTTCAGTCCTCTCGAAACTAAGTCTGCCGGGTTTTCTTTGCCGAGGCAGTGGAACCAATGTTCAGGATCTGTTAATCGTTGAATCTCAACAACGCGGTTTTTCACGAAGGGTTTAAATCGGTTGGGTAAACCTCTAATCCAGAAGTAAGTGATGGATGAATCAGTCCAAAATTGTTGTGTAAGTTTAAACTTTAAGTTTTTTACCAAATTATTGCTCAATCAAGCAGCTAAAAGGGCAGCCATCAATTCAAGTCTGGGTAATGACAGACTTTTGAGGGGAGATACTCTACTTTTGGATGCAACAAATGATGTATATATCTTATCTGATTTTGTAACAATTCTCAAATACGCGACACAGCCGTATGCTTTCAAACTAGCATCAGAAAATATGTGAAGCTGTATATCCTGTATACTATCTCCAAGAGTATCCCTTAAATAGTAACGTGGTATTTCAATGTCTTTTAATTTTTTTACACCATTACACCAATCCTGAAAATCACGAGCAATTTCTTGAGGGAGTTCTTCATCCCAATCAATTCCAGCGCACCAAACTGCTTGAATTAAACACTTTATGATTACAACAAAGGGGCTCAAATATCCTATTGGGTCAAATATACGATCAGCAGCTTTCAGCAAAAATCTTTTTGTGTGTCTCCCTTCAGATAAAAATTTGATAAGATGTTTAGTATCAAAATAAAAAATGTCTGTGTCACTATTACACCCTATCCCAAGTACTTTATGCTCAGAAGGTATTAAGTCTGAATTTTCTATGGTGTGATCAATTTGAATGTTATTAGTTTCCCACAAGTCTATAAGAGGTTTCGAATTTGAATTCCATTTTCTAAGTTGCATACCCGCATCTTCAAAAATTTTAATAGCTTCCTGACTGAAACTAAAAGCTTTATCTACATTATCCTCGCATCCTATCACATCGTCCACATACAATGATTCTCTTATAATTTTTATAGTTTGAGGATATGTTTTTTCATAATTCTTCAAATGAAATTTTATAGTTGCCGCAAGAAGGAAGGGACTAGAAGTAAGTCCAAATAAAACACGAGTAAATCGATAAATTTTAATCTTACCTTCATCAAAGGGAGGTTCCATCCAGATAAATCTGGTCGCATCTCGATCTTCCTCCACAATTTCGATATTAAGGAAAGCTTGCTTCAAATCTGCAACAAAAGCTATCTCTTTGTTCCTAAAGTTTATTAGAATATCAAAAATATCATTAGTTAATTTGGGACCAGTGTATAAACAATCATTTAGCGAACAGGATTCAGCTGAGTGAGACGATGC